TAATTAGCTTCCACATTTTTCCCTTTTCCTTTTGTGGAAGCCTGGTATAATTTAACCAAATGTTTTGCCGTTCGACATTCATTCGCCCAGTGTCCTTTTATGCCACATTTGTAGCATTCACCACTTGGTTTTGGCTTTTCATAAGTTTTAGCCTGTGGTGGTTTGAATTTTCCCTTTTCTTTGGAGGATGATCCATTTGGATTTTTATAGCCCCTATTTGGCCCTTTGTTGCGGTTATTTCCGCGTCCACGTTTAAAGTGTCCGCGAGCACCACCTTGGATAACATTTGATTCTGGTGCTGAACCACGATAAGGATGGCCAAAATTTGTAGGGCTACAACCGGTGGGCCTCATGTTATGATTTTTCATTAAGAGCTCATTATTCTGCTCAGCAACAAGTAATACTGAGATTAACTCAGAATACTTTTTAAAGCCCCTTTCTCTGTATTGTTGCTGTAATATCACGTTTGACATATGCATGGTGGAAAAAGTTTTCTCCAACATGTCATGATCAGTGATATTATGTCCACATAATTTTAATGTGGACGTGACTTTGAAAATAGCAGAATTATAGTCACAAACAGATTTAAAATCTTGAAATCTTAAATTGATCCATTCATATTGAGCTCTTGGTAGTAGGACCTTTTGTTGATGTCCATATCTCTCTTGGAGATTATCCCATAATTCCTTCGGATCTTCCACCAATAAATATTCAGATTTTAAACTTTCATGAAGGTGGTGGCGAAGGAAAATTATGGCTTTTGCCTTTTGCTGAGATGTTGCTGTATTATTTTCAGCAATTGTATTTTCTAGGTCATTTGCCTTGAGGTGAGCGATGGCATCAACCCTCCACTCTAGGTACCTTTGACCGGATAAATCAAGAATGTCGAACTCTCTTTTGGTGATGTTGGCCATTTAATAAACTACAAAATAATAAATTTTGATTTATTAGATTTTTTTATTATTTTATATTGTTATTAAGTAGGTGGTACGTTTAAAAATGAAAGAAAAAAAAAGAGATTAGAATTTAAAAAATATTTTTTTAATAGAGATTTTTTTTTATAGGTTATAGATTGGTGAGTACGGAAAAAAAATTCTCAATCAAGAGTATTCAAATTTAAAAGAACAAGTACGGTGTATATTTATTTGTGTATGAAATTGTGAATTGATAATTTTAAATGATACCCCACTTATTTAAATTTTCTGTCAAAAATTATTCAAAGCCAAATAGAAGAAGACAAATCAAGGAATAAGATGTTTTATTGCATTATTATTATTATTTTTATTTTTATTATTATATAATACTTCGTATAAAAAATATGTAAGAAAAAAAAAATGTATGGGGTAAAATACTTGCAAGTACATAAGGAATCAAAATGGACAATGGAAGAAGACAAAACATGTTCCCATAGTGCTATAATTCATCAATTCTTACTCCGTATAAGATATACTCAGTATTATTATTATCAAGCAAAGGTGGTTTTTGAGAGCATCTCTTTCTTTTACTATGGCACGCAGGAGAAAAAAAATAAAGATAGGAATTTTTTTTTTCTTTGAAGAAGCATACATACAGAGTATTGTTTTTAAAGGTAAGATGTTCATATTTCTTATCTAAATTATTATTATACTTTTTACATTTAAGCTTGCAGAATTCAAAAGTAGTTTATAAAAGGGAGAAATACGAAAATAGCACTTTAATAGCCTTATAATACTCAAAATAGCAGTGCTATTAGTTTTTGGGATGAATTCCCGTTTTTGTCCTTCAATAAACTCCCAAAATTAGAATTATACTGCAATGTATAATCTTCACTGCCACATTATAAATAAGTATGAAATGTTCTGCTCTTCACTGCCACAATATGTTTGAGATTGAATTTAGTGCCCTAACACATACAACACTGCCAAAAAAAGAGCAGAATTCATTTTAAGTCGTGACCTTTTATTTTTTATGGTAATTATACACTGCAATATATACTCTCTACACTGCCACAATATGTACTTCCAAAAATTCAATGTCTGAAATACACTGCCACAATATATACACTGCCAAAAAATTCAATGTCTGAAATACATTGCCACAATATATACACTGCCACAATTTATCTACACTGCCACAAAACACAATAATTAAAACTAAAAATACAGCGAAATCCGAATAAAAGGATGCAAGACAAAATTTTAACATTTAATCTTCACACTGCCCACAACACCATAACACCTAATGTTCACACTGCCAAAATCACAATGCCTTTCAAAAGACCTNAATAGCGTGCGGGAGAACGGAAGGAGAGATTATTGGAGTTGAATGCCGTAATTTTTAATGAAAAAAAACAGAAAAAGAGGTAAAGGGTATGATAGGAAAGGATTGACACCATAAATTGCTAAGTTTGTTAAAAACAATGAGTAGTGCTAAATGCGTAATTTAGGGTGAGTTAGAGTGCTATGTAGGATGATTTCTTTTTATAAAAATGAAATTAATTTTGTTTTTCAATTTTAGCTACTCCATATTAAATTCTACCCTTTTTTTTCTTTCAAAAATGTGATTTTCTGCAATTATGAGGAAGCTTATTCCTTTTTAATTTATCTAATTTTATTTTTATAACTATAAGTTTCTGATGTGAAGGATCCCAACTTTGGGCAATCACAGAGCATACTTCTCATAGTTTTTAAGAAAATATTTTAGTTTGTTTATGAAGAAAATAAAATAAATATACCTTCTGAGAAGAACAAGGTTTCCTAGGATTTTGAGCAAATTCGTGCTGATAACGTGTTATAAAATGAGAGAAAAAAACTACTCAGAGATTAGGAAGATAAATATGATATATTTCTGATTTCTTCTCTATTGATTCTTCACTCTTCTTATTGTTCTTAAGCCTCTTATTTATAGTAGAAAGTCTTAGTACTAACACTATTACAAATAGTATACATACTATACAAATGACAACTTGATGGTGATGATGGACAATTTGTTCCTGCAACTTATGATGGAGCATGACCTAATTAATTGATAAATGAACAATTCATATTTTTCTTAACAGTTTTGTATTTTTGTCAACGAAATCAAAAAGTTTCTCGCAATTGTCTCTTTTTATTTAAAGTTGCTGTGGAGTTAGTTGTTGCAGTGTAAGTAGTGCGTACAGGGAACTTTAATTAGAGTGGAACAGATCGAAGCGACAGGGACTTCTCCTTGTGTGGCTAATCTGTATTTGTGAGAGAATGTAATTAAGAGATGGCCAATTATTATTTTTTCCGAAAATCATGGTTGGCTCCATCTCTAAAGCAACACAATTAGTGGTTCAATTAAGACTTTTGAACCAGCATAATATACCTCTAATAGTCGTCTCTTTACAGCTGGTTGGCAGCAACACACGTACTACCAATCATATTCAACCACAAGGTAGTGCCAGAAAAGATTAACCTGAGTTTAAATCCTGACAATCGGATCCGTTCTTAAGATTTCTTAAGCTCGAGCAATGAAAAAAATGGGTCTTACGCAAAATTATCAACTAAAAATAAAAATATCTTTTTTATTAAAATTGAAATGCAATAAGTATAACAATAAATGTTTTGTATATAAAGAAAATATATAAATAAAAAATATAAAAATACCTAATGGTGTAAATTAGTCGCCCGGGTAAACTGTAATAGACCGGGTCTAGAATAGTTTGCTGAGCTTAAAAACTAAAGTGGCACAAAAAAACAAAAGTTGACCGGGAGGACTGTAGGTGGAAACACATGTAGCCCAATTGTTATTAAGTATGTAAAACAGTATTGGGAGGTATTACACAATATGCTCTAGAGAGATAAAGTTCGACCCCTTTCTATTGAGGGTTACAAGGCTATTTATAGTAGCGCCTAGGGGACAAGACAAAGAATGCTCACGTCCGTGGACGATGCGAGGTGACTTCTCTTGTCACGTAGCGCTTGTCCTACTCATTTGTCGGCTTATGCTGATGGCACCTCTATAGGCGCGTAGTGCTTGGACGAGAATATCTGAACATTCCTCGCGATATTCAGTCGATACCGTCTAACCATGTTCAGATTATTCTTGCCGACACATGTACACCCAAACTGACCACCAGTACGAGTCCCGGAAACTTTCCTGGGTGGTTTCTTGAAGGGTCGTTTGATCACTCGTGGATCCCCATGCAGTGCCATGTTAGTTGACCGGGTGCCCAATAGTAACCCGGGTGGTATTGATTGAACCCCACCCGGGTAGGGTACAGATCCACCCAAACACCCCTGCTGCATGGTACTTGGACTTTGTCCATGTCGTCTTGGCTGAAATCCACCCGGGCATGGAACAGATCCACCCTAACAACCTTGCTCCATAGTGCCTGGACCTTTCCCGGGTGGTCTTGGCTGGGCCCGACCCAGGTCATGTCTTGGGTTGATTACACCCATCAATACCCTAAATGACACTAGTTGAAAATTGTATGGATAACTTGACATTCAAATTTGTGAATATAGTATTAATAATAATCTTGCACAATAGTTTTCTATATGCAAATATGAAGAAGTTTGAGTATAAGAGATTTTTTGTACTTAAAAATTAGTTTCTAAGCTACTTAGAACACTACATATAAATATTTGAAGCCTCTTAAACCTAGGAGGCTCCGGGCCGCCGCCTGCCCCTGACCATGTTAATTATAAGGGTTTTGCATATATTGGGGATAAATTTCACTCTCTCAATGCGATTAAGATTATGGACCATGCTACACTTACACCAACAAATATACCCCATTTGTACACCACAAGTTTGCACAAACATTTCGATGGTTTACACCGACACAAGTGTTGGTGCAAAACTGTAGGATACAAATTGAGGTACAAACCTTGGGGTACAGATAGCATAATTCTTAAGATTATACTTCAATTTAATTTCTCTCTTACTACTATTCGAGCGAATAGTGGGAGACGTTTGGGGTTGGAGTATAACATATTTTTTAAAAAAAATTGTGTAGGTTTGTTAAATAAAAGGCCAGTCCAAGGATGGGCTGGGCCAATGTAACTGTCAGGAGTGTCAGCCCAGGCCTAATTTTTTAAGGGCCCAAACATTTTTATTTTTTTAAATATATATGTCAAATACAAAATTTTAAAAACTTAAATTTCTAATGTAGTTTTTACAAAGTTTAATTATAGTAGTATAATTTTGTTATGTTTATTATTATAATATTATTTGTTAGTATTAAAGAAATAGTTTATATAATTTAATCTATTATGACTAAGG